GACTCACCATTGTAGGCTGGGTGAATATGAGAAAGAAAACTTGTCTAGGTGAATATGGGAAAGAAAACACATCTTCAGATTGAGGGAAACTGTAGTAAAGGCACCTCATATGTAACTGAAACTGGTTTAGATGATGAGATTCTGGGTCTTGAGCTTGAACCTGATGTCATATTGAGATGAGACTTTAAGGTTTCCTGGGAGGTGGTGAAATAATTTTCCATCAGGAACATAAATTACTATGACCAGGGGGTACATTATAACTACCAAATATTTCTGCCGTTTCTTTCTTGCTCATGTATGCATGTCCCTTTCCCATCAAAAAAGGATTTGTTTGCTTTTTTTTTTTCCTTCTTCAATCTAGGCTGGCCCTGTGGGTTACTTTGACCAATACAATGTGGTGAAAATAATGTTCTGGGACTTCCAAGCTAAGGCCCCAAGAGGACTTAGCTTCTACTTTCCTCTTCTTGAAATGCTTATACTTGGGGTGCTGCTTCTTGGATCCCAGCCATAAATGATAGCAAGCCCAGCCACCACGACTGGAAGAACTCCAAGTCCCATGGAGAAGCCACATAAACTGAGGTGAGGCAGCTGAATTCCCAGCTGATAGCCACCATTAACTGCCAGTCATGTGCATGAGTATCTCAGATGTTTCAAGTCCAGTCCAGCCCCTAGATAACTGCAGCTAAAGTCACCATCATGTGGAGCGAAACCACCCAGCTGATTCCTATGAACTCACAGCAATTATAAGGCAAGTGAAATGGTTATTTTAAGCTAATTAAGTTTGAGGGTAGTTTGTTAGTAACAGACAACCCCCCAAAATTCATGTTAGTGCCATTAAGTAAATGAAATGAAGATCAAGAAACCCATTACTCAAGAACCAAAGTATCACTAATATTGTTTTATGTATTCATGTGTTACACCTTGCCACTATCCTGAATTTTATGACTCTTGTCAAAGTTTATCACAAATATACATATTCCTACATAATACAGTTTAGGTTTCTTTTACAGCTTTATAAAAACTGTAGCATACTGTACGTAGACTTCTGAGACTTGCTTTATCATTTTTACAATTACGCTAGGTTGTTGCATGTAGGTCATTCTCCCTACTAAACAAAATTACAAAACCCCTAATTTATTTTTTGTTGTCAGTGGTCATTTGAGTGGTTAAAAACAGAGCTGCCACGAGCACTCTTGAGGTACACAGGTTCAAGAATTTCTCTAAGGCATTTATGTAAACGTAGACTGGTTAGGGTATGTGAATGCTTAAAGCTAAGAGAGAGTGCCAAATTGCTTTCTGAGGAGCCTATCAGTTCAAAATCCTACCTGCAGCGTGAAAAACTGAGGCCCATCATCTTTATTGGTATTGTCATATCCTTTAATTTTTCAATCTATTGAATGCAAAATATTATTCATTATGGTTTTAATTAGCCAATCACTTAAGAGGTAAAACATCTTTTCATGTGTTCAGCCACATCCTCTGAAAATACCTGGTTTGTCTTTTGCTTATTTTTCTATAGGACAGTGATAAATAGAAGTGGTGGTCGGGTGCAGTGGCTCACGCCTGTAATCCCAGCACTTTAGGAGGCCGAGGCAGGCAGATTACCTCAGGTCGGGAGTTCAAGACCAGCCTGGACAACTTGGTGAAACCCTGTCTCTACTAAAAATATAAAAATTAGTCGGGTGTGGGAGCAGACACCTGTAATCCCAGCTACTTGGGAGGCTGAGGCGAGAGAATCGCTTGAACCCGGGAGGTGGAGATTGCAGTGAGCCGAGATCACGCAACTGCACTCCAGCCTGGGCGACAGAGCGAGACTCCATTTAAAAAAAAAAAAAAAAAAAGCACAAGAAGTGGTGATAATAGCCACCCTTATGTTCCTGATTTTCAAAGTATACAACTTGGTCATGACGCAGTTTTAGTTATGTCAACGTTTATTAATAGTGCTTTTGACTTTACAAGTATAAGTGCTATTAGCCTGTAATTTTCTTTTCTCCTATTGAATGTCTCTGATTTTAGTATCAGTAAGTTATATCAACCTCACACAATATGCTGGCAAGTATTCCCTCATTAGCTATTTTTGTCTGAAAGAGCTTGTATAAAATGTTGGAATTTTACCCCCCTTGAAAGAGGGGTAAAACTTACCTGTAAACCTGTGCCAGGTCTTGTCAAAAAGTTAATTATTGTTTACTATTCAACCTATGAATAAGTATATTCAGCTTTTCTATTTCTTCTTGAGCCAATTTAAGTAAGTTGCAATTTTCTGGAGTTTGGTCTATTTTGTCTAAGTTTTCAAATATATTAGCATTAAGATGTTCCTGGTAGTCACTTTTTCATCCCTGCTTTATCAATGGATTCAGACCGCTTTTTCAATCTTTACGTTGTTTGTGTCCCATTTCATCTTGTTCAATTATGCCAGTTTTACTGTTTTGTCATGAAAACAACTTTGCCATGTAATTCTTCATCATTTTCTAATTCATTGATTTATTCCCTTGCCTGTATCTTCTTGCTTCTACATTACTTTTACTATTTTCTAAGTTACACATCTAGTCTTTTCCCTTAAGCATTTAAAGCCACTTCCCTCAAAGTGCTGTTTTAGCTGTAATACCCAATTAAATATATATATATATATTACTTGTAACTAGGTTTCAAGTATTTCCTTTTTTCCTTTGTGACGATTTAAACATGTAAATGTAAGACTTTAAAAAATTTAACCTTTATTACTGACCTCCACTTGCTTCTGATTATCCATTTAATACCAATTATTTGATGTTTTGTAACTTGCTTACGCCTAAAATACATAGTCAATTTTTGCTAATATACAATGCTTAAGAAAAATATTCTCTGTTTAATACATTGTTCTAAATGTTTATTGACTCAATATTAAGAATGCTTTCACTAATTCTTTATCATTAATTAGTTGCTGAAATCTCCCATTGTTGTTCAATTTGTTGCTTCAGCCCTATTGTTGCTTCAGTTCATACATTTTGAGGCCATTTCATATGGTAAAGGCACACTGAAAATTGTTATATATACCTAGTAAATTGATTCTTTAACTATTTTTAATGGACTTCTCAATCTTTAATATCATAAATCTAATTATTTTAATATCACTAAAGCTACACGTTTTTAGTATTTACCTACTTCATTTTTAAAAAATATTTACTTTCAACCTCCTCATGTCTAATATTTTAGGTGTTTTAAAAAGCCTAGTTGGGTTTTTAAAAAAATCTGACCAATGCTATCATTTAATCGGGTAATTGTCTATTCATAATTAATATTAGACTTGTTGTTATTACCTTACTTTCTAACTTCACTCCCCCACCTCCATTATTTCTTCCTTTATTTGTACTAGGTTATTGCATACCTATTCTGTATTTTAAAGTTCTTTTTCTTTGGAATGATTCATCCCCTATCTTTTTTTTTTTTTTTTTTTTCTTTGAGATGGGGTCTCACTCTGTCACCCACACTGGAGTGCAGTGGCACGATCTCGGCTCACTGCAACTGTCACCTCCCCAGTTCAAGTGATTCTCGCACCTCACCCTCCAGAGTAGCTGGGATTACAGGCACCTGCCATCACGCCCGGCTAATTTTTGTGTATTTTGGTAAAACGGGGTTTCACCATGTTGGCCAGGCTGGTCTCAAACTCCTGACCCCAAGTGATCTGCCCGCCTCAGTCTCCCAAAATGCTGATTATAGGTGTGAGCCACAGTGCCTGGCCAATCCCCTATCTATTCTTGTGGCAGTCACCCCTGAACTCTGATTACATATATTTATTATAACATAGTCAATTTTAAGGTTAAACAGTATCTTAACCAGTTTTCTGAATAAAAGAACCTCAGAACCCTCTAATTCCAATCACCCTTCTGCCAGCCAACCGCTATTATCCAGTTTTTCAATTATATCCTTATTTAAAAATTCCACATTATTAATGTTGCATAACGTTTATTTAGTTTTACATTTGTTTATAATTTCTTATAAACACTTTTCATTATAATTGTTTTATCCAAACAGTTTAAATTTACTTATGCTAGTTTTTCAATTTCAGATCATCCTTTTAGAATCATTTTCCTTCTTGAAGATCATCCTTTTGTAGTCTCTTTCCTGAAGTTCTGCTGAGGATAACATCTGTTTTTCATCTCAGCCTGTGTTTGTTTCAGTTTCACTTGTTGCAAATTCTAAGCTAACAGTTTTTCTCAGAAGTCTACCCTCTTTTGGGTACATCGTTCCTGTTAGGAAGCCTACTAAGTATTTGACTGTCTTGCCTTCACTGGTGATGATCTTTTTCTCCCCATGGTTGCTTTTAAAATTTTCTCTTTGGTATCTTATCATTTACAATACCTTGAGTCTAGGCCTGGATTTTATTTAAATATATGTTTGGTATATATTGTGCTTTCTGAAGCTATGAATTCATGTTTTTCCAACAAATTTGGAAAATTGTTTTATCTTTTCAAGTACGCCTCTCCTTCATTCTCTAAATTCTCTCCTTCTAGTACTCCTAGTCTTTATAATTCTTCCCTCAAACTCTCTTAACTTTCTAATGTTTTCTAGCTCCTTCTTTCTCCTCGCTGCTCACTGGGTAATTTTAGATCCAGCTTATAGTTCACTTGTCTCTTCAGCTGAGTCTAATAAAATATTCACCATGTCTGAGGGCTTTTTTCTTATTTCAATAAATATTTCTCATTTCTAGGAATTCTATTTGTTTCTTTTTCAGATCTGCCTGTGGTTCCAACTTCATTTCTTATGTTGGTGATGAAACCTTGAAGAACTGAGTTCAATGTTTATTTTTTCTACAGCTTCCTTGTCATGTTAGTTTGTTTCAACTTGTGCCTGTGATCTCTAGTCATAATATAATACTACTTGATAACAATCTATAGGAATCTTGGAACTAAATTAGGAATGTTTCCCTCTTGCCTCTGCCAGGAGCTACAGCACTACAAACTGAGGGCCACTGAACCTTCTTTAACTGTCCTCTCTAGGGCAGCATCTCAGATTCAGATGTCTTCTTGTTTCTGATTTGAGGCAAACTGAATATGGCAGTGTTGCTATTGGTATCTGCCATCCAGACAAGCATAGTCCACTTGTATGGTCAATACAGTATTCATGACTCCTAACTTAAAATGCATCCATTTCTTGTGGCAGAGGAAAGGTAGAAGTATAGAAGTATGGTTCTTGAAAGTTCTCCTACTTCCTGTGAACCTATTCAAAAGCAGATTTTATTCAAGATCTAGTTGTTTTATAATATCTAGTCTAACATACCTGCTGGAAGCAAAGTCTTATTTTGTATATTAAGTATACTAAAACAGTTATATAGTAACCTGAGAAAGTACATATTCTATGTCATTTCTTACTAATGGGACCTCTCTGGAAAGGTTCCCTACCCCTTCATCAGAACAAAACACACAGTATATAGGAACTGAGTGCACGTCAGAAAATTCCTAGAAGATGAGCTTATTGTAAGGTTGTTGTTTCACTTGGTAGAAATTTCTCCTGGTGCTCTATTACTAAGACGTTGCATCAACATTGACTGTTCAAATTACTATTTTTTTTTACTTTTTAAATTTACTTATTTATTTTAGAGACAAGGTCTCATTTTGTCACCCAGGTTGGAGTACAGTAGTGCGATCATAGCTCGCTGCGGCCTCAAACTCCTGGGCTCAAGTGATCTTCCCGCTTCAGCTTCCAAGTAGTTCCAAGTAGTTGGGACTAGAGCTGCATGCCACCATGTCCAGCTAATTTTTTTTTTTTCCAGTAGAGACAGAATCTCATTATGTCATCCGGGCTGGTCTCCAACTCCCTCCTAGCCCCAGGTGATCCTCCTGCCTCAGCCTCCCAAAGCATTGAGATTATAGGTGTGAGCCACCATGCCTCTGTTCAACTTTTTAATGTCCTGATTAATATGTGATTCAGATTAGTAAGACTAAAATCTTGATCATATCCCATCATTTTGAACCTTTTAAAAAATAATAATGATTTGTTACATGCAGCTTCCATCTAGATGCATAACTTTATTTCTGGAAATGTGGGCCACCTACAATGTAAAGCAGACTAAACAAGGCAGCTTGTGATTTCATTTTAATCAGAAACACATCAAATAGGCATCATGGCAGCAGATCTGACTGCTACTGTTTTAAATACAGATGGATTAACATCTTTATTATTCATAATTATCTGTCAATGTTCTCTGGATGATCAAGAAACTCTTTGTGCCTCACCCTAATCACTGAAGTAATGAAAGGAGATACCAGCAGCAAGCACTGCAACTGTAAATGCTGCAATCACACCTAAAAGTAAAACAAACACAGAACAAATGAAAATGGAATGAGCAAAAGAAAGGCCAAACTAATCCTAGGCTCTGAAATGTGGGTAACTGATGGGCCTAAAAAACAATACACAAACACACAAACACACAATCTTACATACACATACATATGTATATACTAAAAGGCAGCAACATCTTAGAGAAAAATATAGCCATAAGTTGAAAAACTAGACTTCGAATGTTGGACAAAGTATCTTTCTTGCACAAATGTGCACTGAGACGTATCTAAGAGAAAAAATAACAAACACTTTAAAGGGCTTATATAAATATTTGTATTGGCATACCAGCTGTCTTATGCTACTTAGGTTAAAAAAAAAAGGCAGTTCCAGTAGGCAGCAGTTCTCAACCATTATAATGTAAAGCCACTTGTGTAACTTGTGTAGCTACTGAAAACTGCAGAAGTCCATGTTCAACCATTATAAAATCTAAGAATTAGTATGTCTAAGTTGTAACTTTTATTTTTTCCTGAATATAGTAAGCTAAAGAAAGAAACTGGCCATAGTAGTCCAGACAGACAGACACACACACGTACAAAAAATTAATTAAATTTATCTAATGAATGACAAGAACTACAATTAAATCTTCTGGCTCCTAACTCTCAGTCAGAAGTCTTAATACTTAGTATTTCTCAAATTGTTACCCCATTAAACAATAGTCTGCATGTTCTTTGTTCAAAAAGTCTGAAAATGTTAAAATAATTCTGCATTTCTTAGAGCCTTTAAAATATAAAATTATAAAATACTTGACTTGAATTTGACATTTTTTGTCATAGAACACACATCAAAATCTCCTGTGATAGTAATTCTAGGAATACCAGTTTGTAAAACATTAGCCCTACTATACTAACTGATTCCCAAAACTCTGCATTTTTTTCTTTTAAGAATGTTTTAAAAATTAATAGGATGTGTCATCTTTGAGGGCATTTGGATGACAATGTATGAATTATAAATCTTTCTATCTCTAGGGCCTGGCACTTTCCATAATACCCAATAAATACTGTTAAGTCTAGCAATCTTAAGAAAGCGAAATGAAATACAAAAATTTTAAAGTAACAAGAAAACTCAAATCTAAATATGTTTTCAGTGTTATCAAAGAAGTAAAATTAAATACCTATGTTTTGCTGAATTTTCAATAACATTGTAGCTTTAATTGGTTGTTTTGGTTGTTCATCATCTGTGTTGTCCAATGAAGCTTGACTATTCATAGAGGAACTCATACAAGCTGAAAGAGTATAATAATAATAAATTTCACATAAAATAAGGATTAACACATGAAACTGAGTTTTAAAGAACATTATAAAAACCATACAATCAACACCATTTTCATTCTGCTTGTTTTTTATATAATAATGAATTTGCTCATTATCAATTGTAGGTGAATTAAATTTAATAGGATATATGTCAAATTGACAGTTTTCAAAACAATGTAGCTTTATCATTGAACTAAATCAGAGGGCCACACAGCCAGTTCTGAATGACTTTCAAAAATTGTAATTTGTTGGTCAGGCGTGGTGGCTGACGCGTGTAATCCCAGCACTGTGGGAGGCTGAGGCAGGCAGAGTGCCTGAGCTCAGGAGTTCAAGACCAGCCTGGGCAACATGGTGAAACCCTGTCTCTACTAAAATACAAAACATTAGCCGGGCGTGGTAGCATGCACCTGCAGTCCCAGTTACTTGGGAGGCTGAGGCAGGAGAACTGCTTGAACCTGGGAGATGGAGGTTGCAGTGAGCCGAGGTCATGCACTGCACTGCGCCAGCCTGGGTGAAAGAGTGGAGCACTCTGTCTCACAAAAAAAAAAATAATAATAGTGAATAATTGTATCTTACATTATACCGTAGGGCCTGAAATTTATACAAAATTCATAGGCAGAGGTAAAGCTCTCACGTACCTGAGATTCTACTTTTTTTTTTGAGAAGCAGATCCTACTCTGTCAGAACAAGGCTGGGAGTGCGTTGGCAACGATCGTCAGCTCACTGCAACCTCCTGCCTCCGCGGTTCAAGGTGATTCTCCTTGCCTCAACGCATTGCGGCACGAGTAGCGGCTGGGATTACAGGCTACCATGGCCACCACACCGGTCTAATCATTTGCATTTTAATTTATTTTTTTATTTATTTGAGACAAGAGTCTTCTTCTGTTCACGCTAAGCTGTAGTGGCAATGGCGCTGATCCTCCGGCTCATTGGCTAACGCTCCACTACCTCCCAGGTTCAGCATTCTCGCCCCGCTCGGCCCCGAGTCAGCTGGGACCTACCGGGGTGCAGCCCTACGCCCCATTAAACTTTTGTATTTTTATCGTAAGATGGGGTTTTGCCATTTGGTACTGGCTGGGGTCCCAACTCCTGGCCTCAGGTAACGCGCCCACTGCGCCCGTTGGCCTCCTCCTCAAAAGATCGCTGGGATTAACATGGCCATCCGCCCCGAGCCAGCCACCGCCCGGCTAGTTTTTTGTTATATTTAGTAAGACACAGGATTATCTCCATGTTGGCCAGGCTGGGTGCTCCAACTCTGACCAGCAAGGGATCTGCTGGCCACTCGAGATCCACCGTCAAAGCTGGGGCTGGGATCACACAGTGGTGTGGGCAGCGCACCCGTGCCAGCAGCCCATAATTTATACTCATTATTGGTGGTCTTTAGCAATTTTTTTTTTTAATCCATTTGCAAATATTATCGATATTAATAATAAAACCAGTGAAACTAGCCACATGCAGTACATGGGGCCTCTGGCTCATAGACCCGCTATTTTTGTAACAAGCTTTTTAAACTAAAAAATCCTATTTTTTTATATTTTTAAAAGCACGTATAACAAAAAAAAGAATATGTGAAAAAGACCTTATGTGGCTCACAAAGCCTAAAATATTTATTTGCACAAAAAAAAATCTGCTGACTCTTGATCCAACTTGAAATTTAAACTATGATAAAAATTTTGACCTTAAAACAACTCTGAATGGTAAGCAAGGCAAGGACATCATCACATTTTACAAATGGAAAACATAACCTGGAAGGTTAAAGTGCGCATTTGACCATCACAGGCATTTGACTGATGATTTGGACGCAAGTTCTCTTTCTACTTCATTATGCTGACAGCAATTTATGTAGGTTAGCCTATCTGAATTTATTTAATGCTCAATGAAAGTGTGTGAACTGATAACATCCTCAAAGACCACACAGGCTAATAGTTTTCAATTTTTTTTCTCCTAGGACTGAAGAATCCTACGAAAACAAAGAAAATCTGACAGAAATTCCCAGTGTGTAAAAAAGATGAAAGTATGCTAGCCAGGCTGAAGCTGGGAGGGAGGACTCCTGGAGTCAGACCAGCTCCTTACTTCTATCCTAGAGGTGACAGAAGAATGCTACTCTATAGAACTCTAGGGAACTAGGTTATGAAAGCAACTAGTTTAGATTGATCTGTTTATTTACCCTCACCACTCCCCAAAAGAGAGAGAGAGAACTCAAGAGAGATAGTAAATATTATTGTTTAAATTTAAAGTAAAATAGCTTATTGTTGAATTTACAGTGTTCTTACAGACATCTTCGCACCCCAATATACTAGCACGAGTTCAAAAGAATGACATATAAACTTACTGAAATAAGTATCTATGATACCAAAACGGATGAAAAAGAAAAAAAATTACCTACTTGTCATTAATTTCTCATAAAGTTTGATTTTCATAAATAATTCCTAGTAACTATCTTATTAGAATCAAGGACGCCACCATTCTTTTTTTTCTTCTTCAAGTATACAACTAAAATACTTTAAAAAAAAAAACAAAAACACCCTCCCCGCCTTTTTTTTTCTATTCTCACATGAAACCAGTCACAAAGAACAACAAATTCTTATGAACTGTCTCTAGGAATATCTAGTTTTCCATATTTCCAATTTCTAGGTTTCTCAAAGGCTATAATACTTCGGTTCCAGACTGTATTAGCCTAGTAATTTAAAATTTCTTCCAACTTCAGTCCATAGGTCTAAAAGTTGAATGGCTAATACAATTTTACGTTAAATAAAAACAAAAACAACATTTGGCTCTATGAGCAAATATCTCTGTTAAAAAGGTATTTTTTGGCTGGGCACGGTGGCTCACGCTTGTAATCCCAGCACTTTGGGAGGCCAAGGTGGGCGGGTCACGAGGTCAGGAGATTGAGACCATCCTGGCTAACATGGTGAAACCCCATCTCTACTAAAAATACAAAAAAAATTAGCCGGGTGTGGTAGCAGGTACCTGTAGTCCCAGCTACTCAGGAGGCTGATGCAGGAGAATGGCATGAACCCAGGAGGCGGAGCTTGCAGTGAGCCAAGATAGTGCCAGTGCACTCCAACCTAGGCTCCGTCTCAAAAAAAAAAAGGTTTATTTTTTTTTTCCCCATATTTGGGCCAATAAAATCCTTATATCAGATAACAAACAAAAACAATGGATGGTGTGAATTATATCTATTTGCTATAGGAACTTTGTTACTTGAATACTTGCGTACAAAAAAAAAATTGTTTTAGTTGTCATATTACTTATATATTTAACACTGAATATTACATATGAAGATCATGCTCTAGAAGATCGTACTCTGCACAAATAATTTACTTTTATAAAAGGCATTCCATTGCCCTGCTATTTCCATTTTTAAATCTGTCATATAAAATCACGTGGTTTGATACAAATTTGAGATAATTTTACTGAAGCAGAATGTTTTTCAATAATGAAAATAGCAATTTATTTGTTTATTTTTGGTGGAGGCTTGTAGGATTTTTAAATCAAATCTCAGGCACTGTGTTATTTCACCAATATTTTAATATGTTACACGAAATTTAAATACAAATAACACAGTGATTCAATACAACATTAGATCTCAACCATTCCTTAAAACCAAGTAATTTTAAATTCAGACAAATCGAAAATTGATCATTATTGTTAAGAAAGTATTCTTCTTGAGCAGCTGTCAAAAAGATAGACAAAACAAGGGCTGTGAATGCATGCAAAAGTTGCAGACATGTTCAGATTTCATTCCAAGCTGCTGATAGGTAAGAAGGACTATTTAAAAGCTTAAAATGAAATGTTAAGACTTGAACTCCTTCGTTGGCTGTGTTCTTCCTATCCCTAAATCCTAAATTACTGATGTATAATTATAGTCAGCGATGTAGCCATAAAATTGTATCTTCAGTATTACTCATTTTTCTTTTATAATTGTCAATGTTTAACCAAATGACAAAAATTAATTTCAGCTCTGATATTGGCAAAGATGAGGTTCACCAGATTTTAAAGGTGTGACTTCAAAATTTTTTAGATGGTACTGTTGATAAAAGTACATTGAAATTATTAAGTTAACATCAACTAGGAGATGACTAACACAGCTAAGAAATTTTAAAGCCAGTTATCCCTCACCTCAAGTGAGTCATTTTGACAAACAAATTGTTCCTCATCTCTTAAGTTATTTAAAAGTATGTTATTTTAAGACACTTACTTGGCAAATATGTATTTTAAACATAGCAACTATTTGGCAACCATACTATAGAACAGAAATAAGTAATAATCAGGTAAATAATATAAGTTGAGCATCTCTTACCTGAAATGATTTTTTTTTTTTTTCAAATTTTGGATTATTTGCACTATACTTACTGGTTGAGCATCCCTAATCTGAAATCCAAAACCCAAAATGTTCTAATGAGCATATTTCCTTTGAGTATCATGTTGGTGCTCAAAAAGTTTCTAATTTTGGAGCATTTTGTGTTTCAGACTTTCAGATTAGGGATACTCAACCTGTAATGTTAAATACTTAGAAGATAAAGCAAAATGTTTATAGCAAATTTAACGTTCCTAAATGTGTAGTAATTGATTCCAATTTCTGAATTTGAACATTTGAGCTCCACTTTTTTGTGGTTTATATGGAAACTCTAATTTCAAATATTTAGGAAAACTTACACATATTATAAAACATTTTCATACTTTAACATTAATATTTTTCATTACAAGTCAGAGGTTCAGTATTTAAAAGCCTAATAATGTGTTAATATCATCTCTGTTTAGAAAGTATTTTCCCTAACAGTTTTACCAAATTCTCACAGCAACCCCAAGAGAATCTAGGACTCAGAGGGGACTTCTTTAAGGTTAGTTCTAAGTGGCAGGCCTGGATTCCTGGACATTATCTTCGTAAAATTGTGGCATCTAATATCTTTGAGTAAATGAATAAATGAGTAAATGAGTGAATAAGTGCGTATAATTCTTAAAAAAAAAT